TTGTTGTTGCTGCTGCTGTTGCACAATCAACGACACGTGGCAAGTGCCATATAATTTATATCAACGTCTTTACTTTATATTTTTTATGATTTTTTTTTTTCATTTCTTTTTTTTTGTCGTATTTTTGAGTGTCGAATTCGATATGCTTCCCGTTTAAAAAGATTTTGCACACATATACAAATATATTGATATAAATTCATACTTTAAATTATTTTTTATTTCTATTGACTCTCAAAAATTCATTTAGATTAAGTTTTTCATTATAAAAAGAAATTAATTTTCTTCAGCAAGTTTCTTTTAAGTGTTTACAATATTTCTCTGCGGCTGCTAAGCTGCTTTGGCCAAAAAGGAACATTTTCAAAGATATCTGTTTTCTTTATCAATTCGTTGGATTTTACGGTGCGGCTGTTCCATTCACTGGTTCCCTGTTGGCTCTGATCCCTATCTAAATCTATTACAACTCATATTCATATGCCACCCACCCACTTACACACACACACATATAAATATATATATATATATATACACATACCTTCTACACTCTGTGCATGACATAGTCAGAAAGTGAAATCAAGTGTTAAAGAGTTTTAAGAAGGAAGTCGAAAAATCTTTACCCCTAACAATGTCGCAGTTCTTTTGCAGCCGTTTTTATGCTCAATACCTATTGCAAAATGGCGAAAAAGGGTACATTGTGTTTGAATATATACATATATTAAATTGTTCGATTGTAACAATGGATCTTGTCACGAATACATTTTTCTTGTGGTTGCCATTTATATAAATGGGAGTCTTGTATCTTAAAAGTCTACGGGCTTACAGAAGTATAACTAGCTAAAAAAAAATGCAAAGTTTCTTCGATAACCTCGAGAAAAATAAAAAACTTAAAAATAAGTTTCTTAAGCAATATATTTTCAAGCAAGAAAGAATGTTGAATTTTGTTAAATATTTGTTAGATATAGGGTATACTTCAATCTATCAGGTTTTTCACTCCTTTTTATGTAGCCCTTTTACGAGCAGTTTCGTTTGCTGCTTAGCCTAATATCGAAATAAACATACTTTATCCGTTATTGCCGTCAAATTTATGGTTTCTTAAATGCTGCTCCCAGCTCCCGGCGCCCAGCGCCCAGATCCACCTACGTCCCCTCAAAGGAAATATGAGACGCACATGTTACGCATTATACAAGGCAAATTGGATGGATTTTTGAAAAGGGTCTTTCAACTATGTGGCCAGTTTCTCAAATGCCTTCAATTGGATGAGGCAAGTGTTTCGACAGTTGGACAAGTTCACTAGACGAGATGTCTGTAGAGTGATAAGAATATAAATAGAGAAGGCTTGCTTAATCAGGTTTTGTTTGCATTATTTTGTTCAATTGTTGAGACTTCAAACGTAGCTCCCCAAAAATGCATTCACAATCGCAATTAAAACCAAGTTACAAGGTCACAATTTTTTGCGCAGACAATGGAAATTTGCTAAAAATGACGACGCGTCGTCGCTAACAAAATTGCAAATGTTGCACACGGGAAACATGTGCAAGTATGTGTATGTGTATGTGTGTGTGTATGTGTATGCAGCCTTTCCATGGAATGCAATTGAAATCCGTGACAATGCCAGGCAGGGGAAGGGCTGGTTAGGGGACCCCAGCAGACACCACCTACCCCAATGTACAACAAAAAAGAAGAATAGCAACCTACCGAAAACAGTTTCCCAGCACTGCTTTTGCGCAGGTCCAAGACTGGAAAGTGAACTGCAAGCAGAGGCAAACGACTCTCTACTACAACAACAAATACACAAGCAAAACAAAAAGCAATAATGGCGCCCAGGCAGGTATGTCGGATAAACGGAATAGTAATTAGTGCGAAAAAAGCGCAAGGAACAAACAAGCAGCAAAAAATATATTGGAACAAGCGCATAAATCATAATTGCTTGCACTCTCATTCGCACTAACAGCAACCTGGAATGTGTCTTACAGTTATGCTTTGTGGAAAGCGCAAATATCTACAATGTATGTATGCATATATGTATGTACATATGTACATACATACATATGTACAGTTCCAAGCGATATGCAGAGTTGCAAATTTATATATACACAAACATACATACATACGTGTGTGCATATACATACATATATACAAGGGTAGTCGATGCATACATATGTAAAGGACTGCCTGCCATTACATTCTCGCTGCATGCTCAGATAGCACCTGCAAATTGCTTTCGCCTGTTTGGCTTGCTTCATTGTTGCCTTTGCGTTTATATTTGCCTTTTAGTTTGCTTCTTTGTTGTTCCCGTTACATGTTCAATGTTTGTTTACAACGCGACTCAACTTGCCTTACTTCCAATACGCTCCTAATCCGCGGCGCCACCTAATCAAAGGATCTTATGTAGCATATGCAGCTAAATCACTGTCTACAACCGGACTAAATAAAGAAATCATTAGAAAATCGTGTAGGACATTAGTCCAACTGTCGGCAGCCACCCACAATTTGCACATAATGTTGAACACGCAAGTCAATTGATGCAATTTGTACGACAAGCTGGCAGCAATTGGATCGTCCCCCGGCTGGTGCTTAGCGCATGTTTCGTCTTCCTTTTTGGGTCCCCAGTGACAATTTGACATGAGAGTTGAAAATGCCGTTACAGGTTCACGGTCTGCCGCACGTGTGGGGCATAGATATCTACAGTTATATATGTATGTACATATGTGAATGTATGCGTTTGTGTGCGTGTGTCTCATCAACAGTTTGCAGCTGCTTTGGTGCTGATTTAAGGGTTGGCCGGCATTGCCCTTAAATGAATTGTGGCGATTTATTGCGGTAATACTCATTTAGTCGAAAGCCGTGTTGGTGGGTGTTATATATGTATATGTACATATGTGTGTGTGTCTGCGTGGCTCAAGTCGAGTGCAAACAATGCGCACAATAAAAATAAATCTCCAACTGTTTACGTGGGCTGGGCCTGCGGGGGAGGAGCTTTGCTTACAAGTGTGTTTAGTTAGACCCGTGGGAAGTCGTTTGTGGCGGCGGGCGATTCCTTTAAGGGCTGTCAATACCGCATCGCGTTGCCAATTACTTTTGAGCTTGATGCGCCATTGATTACCAACTGTTTTTGGTATTCATGTCACTTGCAGCACTGGCGGCTGCCTCCTCCTCTTGACCCCTCTGTCTATCTGCCTTCTGCTCTCACTAGTCTGCCTATCCGCAATGATCACTGTAATTGGGCTTTGCTTTGACAAAGCCAACTAGCCGAAAGGAAAAGTACGTGATATGCATTTTAGACGTAACTGGCTGGCAATTAATAAGCCAATTTCTTAGCACCACACTTATCAGTGGACCACGTAAATCAGCATTATGCTGAAAACGGAAATGAAAATGAGCTCGAAATTCAATTACAGTTAGCCAGGCAGTAGGGTGTGGAGGAGAAGGATATGTCCACCTTCTCCAGCATAAATCAAGTAGCTGCCGCACCTGTCGTCCTGGCGTAAATTTGCCAAGCCAGGCATGCGTCTTATTACATTTTAAGCGGCTTTAGAGACACTAGCAGCAGCAGAGCTCATAACTCATTGCTTCGCTTGCCTGCGCGACGTTTGTCGCATACTTTAATTTATTTTCTAATTTATGAGCAGCTTTGTTGCCTGGCTCTGACTGGCACTCTGTGGAGGCTGACGCTGCCAACCACACCAAATAGTGTTTCAGGGCCATGTTAATTGTTTGATAATGCTATCGTCCTGTGAACATAATAGCATAATTAATCGATATTAAATGAACACGGCAGCAAGAGCAGAACAATAAACGCCGGAAAACCCACAAAAGGTTAAATTAAACGAAGTAATTGTTACCGACACTGACAGCAGCCGAAGAGTCTCCCCTACGGCAACTTGATATTTTTGAGGGCTGGGCCCACTCGCACAATGCACAACAAACAGTTACCCAGACACGCACCAAGCCCAGCAGGTGGAGTGAGGGAGCGAAAAGGAGCGAACGAAACCAGGAGGGGAGTGGGAGTGCTTTTGAGAGTTTTTGATTTTTAAGCGTGGTTGAATGGGAGAATAGGTGGGTTGGCAAGTGGCGGGTGGCGGGTGGCGGGTGGCGGTTCACTGGCCCACTGACTGGCGGGTAGAGCGCACAAAGTCACACGACAGGTGGCGGCACTGAGCCGAGGGTTGGACCGCAAATTGATTTAAATGCATTCTTAATGGGATGAAATTATCTGCTTGCTCAGATTTGCGGTTTGACGGAGTCATTCCCCCACTTGATATACATATATACGCGACCTTTCGCTTTTGATGTGCATTTGCACAACGATTTACTGTAGTAAATTTAAGCTAACCTAACTTATATTAGTCTTAAGCTTAATCTGAAGCATTTCTTTTAATTAAAAATAAGCGCAACGTCTATAAAACTCGAATTAAATTTAAGTACTTGACGACCTACCAAATCCGCTTAAAATAATAACAAAATAACAATTTGTAGCTGCTCTTCGTTAACTACGGGTCACAGTTAGAATCCTTATCTATGCTAAGCAGAGGTCACACATTTTCTTTGACCTCTTGCCTAGCAAAAGCTGTGCAGTGGGGAGGGCTAAAATGCATAAAAGCAAGAGGGGGAGCTTATTTTAACACAGATTTCTTTAAAATAAAAATATTTCTTTTACCAAAATAATAATATATAAAATTACAAATTATTTAATAATAATCAATAAATTATTAAAAACATTCTAACATCACTTGAACGGGTAGAATGGGTGAACAGTTTGAAGGTTAAGTTTTAAACCTAAGCTAAAGGTCAAAATATAAAATATCTGAATTGCTTAAACTATATTATACACTCACTTCAGCATATAGTAGATGAACTCAGTAATTCAGCTGCTGTAAATAAATTGAGGTTATTTAAATGTCTACTTTAGATGAAACTGAAATTTAGATTAACAAAAACTACAAGAATTGCTTCATTATACCCTGAACCCATTGAAAATGGGAAATCAGGGTATAATGGTTTTGTTTTTAGCTTAAACTTGAAAGCCTATAGCTTGCTCTTTTCATTTGGTAGTTGCTTAGGAACCAGATGCCCATTCAAAGCTGGAATATTGATATATATTTTAAAACCGGTTGCTGTCGTTGACTCGTAGCGATGCAAATGCTTAGAAAGGGCATTCAGCTCGGCAACAGTTCCAGAAAACTCAATGGGCTTGGTGACCAAATGTGGTTCGGGCACATATAAGTCGTCGCCTGCAAATAAACGAAGCAATTAAAAACTGACACACGAGCCTAAAATTAAATTCAAAGCTAAAGTTAACCTGGCAGCGTAAATACCATGCCATCGCTGCATACGTAGGCCACTGGCATAAACATTGTGCAGCCCAGTTGACCGCGCTGCGAGGCAAAGGTACATAGCTTCTGGAAATCGTTGATGGAGCACAGGCGACTGAGTTCATAGATTTGAGGCGGCAAAAAAAACAGTTCCTGATCCTGATGCAAAAATAATAGTTCAAGAGGTGAGCGCCACTGCAAATCGATGAATAAATATACGATTAGAATGATTACCATATCGTCGCATTCCCGCGAAATGACCGTGTATGTGTGGCTTTTTTGTAGTTATTTTTTCCAAATTTTTATACCCTGAACCCATTGAAAATGGGAAATCAGGGTATAATGGTTTTGTTAAAAGTA